TTTGCAGAGTTCAATTAAATTGGGAGCTATATTGAAAGAAAGAGAATTCTCGGCGATAAACGAAGTTATTAATACCTCTTGGCGTGCTTTACTTGTCACTATATCCAATGGTCAAGCATCAGTCTCCAGTAAGTCATCAGTATCTTTTGAATTAGCATAATTACTTAAAGTCATTGAATGTCTAATGCACTTTGAATATTTTATGTGCGTCACAGTTTTAGAATGATTTGTGAAAGCCTTGAATCCTTCCCCATCTTACTCCAGCAGTGAGTTACAAAAAACACAATATGTTTGTCCAGCAACATTTATTTTCTTGCACCATGTGCCGATGGTATCCCCATTACCATCTCTCCGTTCAATCCAATTCCACCTAAATGCATTCCGGACACCATCTTCTAATTGTATAATAATATCACTATTTATATCGAGAAATTTCGTAGTGAAATTCTCTTGCGTACATAAATAAAAAATATTTCAATAAACGAAACGAAAAATTTACACAACAGAGAAAAAAAAGTTGCGAAGTGATCAATGACAAATAGCTAATACGGCGAAAAATCCCCCTTCTCTACTTTTTGGCGCCACGCCAGGAGAGATAAGACCTTTGAACCCAGAGTCACGTGATCGCACATCTGGTCAAACCAAGTCTCTCCCTTTTTTTCTGCCCTGCCTACTTGCCGAAAAAGAATCCAGAAGAGAATGTCCGAGAACCGGGGGAATGAGTCATAACTCGAAATAAGGAAAGAATAAAAAAGAAGTTTTCTCCCCCTTTTCACGCATTATCACTGCCTTTGCAGAAAGAAAGGAAAAGTTTTCACCACACACACTGACCTTGCGTTTTCTGCTTTCAAAGCAAACAAAATTACCCAGATCAAAATATCAAAATAAATAATTCATTATTATTCCTACTTCCTTTTGAACGACGATCCCCGGAATTTCCGGGTATCGAAGTTCAAAATCCCCGCAATTCTGGGGTTTCCCCGGAGCACAGACACCCCTGAACTTAAAAACATAAAAAGGCTATATGCCAAATACCTTTAAAGGTATATATGCATATATACCTTAAAATGTGATACTTAAAAATAATTTATATCTATTTAATTGTTAAAAAAAAACTATCTCTGAGTTTCCGAAACACTTTAAGAACTGTACCAAAAACAGATAGGGAAACAAGTGGACTAAGCGCAGAGAAATTTATAGTTATTAGCATCACCACATTTTAAATTCTGTTTATTTTTACTATCTAAGAGATAAGTAGGAAAAAATAACATTCCAGGCAGTACCTTATTCGGGTCATTTTCACATAGGAAAAGAATACTTTCTTTATTGTTAAATAAAGGATAATTATTTTGAACACAATTTCTCCATTTATTAAATAACTAAAAAATATTTTGGTATAATTTTTGTTTAATTTTATTTAATTGTAGCAAAAACTGACTTGCTACTGAAGATAATTATATTCAACAGAACCTTAATTACTTTCACCTTAACTAATTTGATCATAATTATTTTTTTAATGAATAATAAAAAAGATATTCCAAAATATTGATCTGATATTTAATATAAATACAGAAATTACATTTATATAATTCTCTGACGTTTACATGAAATCCTTTTTCTGTCTGACAAAGACCTTTAACACTAGAAGACTGACCTTGAGTTCATTGATTGCGGTCATCATTTTTGTATTATAATTCATTTAAAACTCAATACAGTGTGGGGATAAGCTACTGACAGTGTCAACTGTTATCTATCTAAAGGTACCTCCAGATAGAATCAAGTTAACATGTCTTATATACAAGTGAATTGGAATTGAATAACTCTAGTGGTAGCTACGCTACACCAGATAATAAAACTTGCAAGAAAAGAAATAATTAAAATATTTATGATAAAAATCTAGGTACTTTGAATAAATATTTTTTCATGACTATGGTTAATGTTTTTAAACCTCAATACATACCTTTGAACTACTATAAAATCTCTATAGTTTTAGAATACATTTCTCCTAGTGGTGTTAAAGGTAATGAGTTTAATAAATTAGAATTCCAAGAATTTTTCACCATTTCATATAAATAATTTAAATTGATAGATTAAAGCTCATATAAAGAAATAGTAGTGCTCTAAAGTAATGGTAAAAGTTTTATAAAAATTTTATTTGCTTTAAATTTTTTTTATTTAGTTCACTATCATTGATAAATATATTTCGTACAATATTTAAATGTTAAAGGATATGTCATTATAACAGAAAAATCAAATAATATAGATACTTTGCAAGTAAAAAAAAATCACATTTTACAACATTTCATTTAGGTTATGGATATGTCTATAGTCATACTAAAACAAAATTTTTTAGGAAGGTGTAAATAAAGCGTACCGCCAGAAAACTTGTAAGCCGTTATTCCCCAAGTAACAGTTTTCACTGCGCATACTAAAGTTTTGACTAAGCTTCTACATTCTGCAATGTTACAAATAGCTGCCTGAGAAGCAGGAACACCAAATTTTGTCTAAAATTAAAGAAAACTATTAGAAAATATATACATTTAAAGCAATGAAACATTTCACTAATATTAAAAAAATTATTAACAAGATAACAATTTTTTTAATAGTTAATAAATAATGATTTAATGAAATGTACAGAAGCATTAATATGTTTGTGAGACTACAGCACTTTTAACACCTTAATGATAGACTTTTTTTGCATACATGTTTCCTTATTTCGAAGAATGAATAAAAATATAAGTTTGCATTAGATGCATTATTTAAATCTATTGCAACATTTTTCAACAAACTAAGAAATTACTCTTATAGAAAGTATACTTTGCTTCATTTTATTTTAAGTTATACTTATGAACCTGAAACCTATGAGCTCTGTCAAGACATATATGGATGAGTACACATACAATTAATGTCAAGAAACAAAAATTAATAAAATATTCTTGAAGTTGATTATAAAATTATTATTGATGGTATAAAATGTTTTACACACAATGTATAAAATATTATATGTTAAAAATTAGAAAGAAAAAGATACTAAAAATATTTGAGCCTGCTTTTTAAATACTGTTGTTTCAAAATTCTAGCGTAGAAACGTTTGTTTGAATGCAGAGTGAAAAATTATTGATTCTGCTGTTAATGTAAAAAATAATACAAAGACACAGAAATGGAGATTTTATACTTAAAATATATTCAAGGTTCCTATTCAGTTATAGAATTAAAATTCTCTAACTGGTTTTCGAGAAAATTTCAAGATTATATTATTGCTATACAAAACAATATTTCTTTAGAAATATTATATTTTTTTTATTCAAACTTACTTTTAAATAGCAAATATGTCTAATATTAAATTTTGTAAAATCTATTTTATTTCCCTAGGTAAAGGGTTTGACACAAATATAAATTATATATAAAATCAATATCTAACGAGGACCCATACCGCACACCCTCGGTCCCTACACAGACTGATCCAAGTAGTCACCCACCCGCACACTGACCGCAGTCAATGAAGCTTCTGAGTTTTAACGATAAGTCCACTGCGGGACTATTATAAAATGCAGATCTGATTTTACCTCATTAATTTTTTTGCGACAGAAAGAATCATAAAAACATAACACAAATCAGTACTCTAATTTCAATAAATTCAAAAATTCAACAATGTTACTACAGAATTTTAACAACAAAAAAAAATAAAAACAGATGTTGAACTTATTTGCTTTGAACCTTATTGGCTATTTAGTGCTATAGTCCAATTTGAAATAAGTTGTTTAGTTTCTAGGTTTGCTGAAAGATTTTTCTAGGTTCCAACCTAACTTTGTATTTTTCCATCTCTTATTTTTCTTTAAAAAAATTCCAAGACAATTAAAAGGTTTTTCTTAGGTTATAAGATTTTTGATATTTTAAAGAATAAAAACATAAAATCATACGGAAGTAAAATTGGACCCTTGAATAGTAAACTGTTTAAGAACCCAGTCTACTATAAAACAGAAGTTCACTATATCCAAATTCTTCGAAAAATTATTTTTTAGCATATGACAGTAGTATTGTTGGAAATCGTGATTATGATAGTAAACTATTTATTTATAAATTAAATCCTTAAATATGTAATAAATTAAATATCTAAAAAAAAATATAAATAATTTTTATATTCTATGGAAGATGGATATTCAATTCGATGTTAAGTAGAGTTTACCACTTTTCCTAACAATTATTAAAGAACCTAGTATTTTCTAATCCTCATTTTCTGCCGGAAAAAAATTCAGAACACTTAATTCAGAGAGGTAAGAAGAGGAACGTGCTGCTTAACTTGTTTCTTCTTCTTCTTTAGCATTACAGCCCATGACAGGCCAAGGCCATCCCAATAAGTTTTTGCCATCTTGATCTATTCCGTGTCATAGCCTTCCAGTTAGTTATTCCCATTATTAGTTATTCCCATTTCAAAACAAAAAGCACGCAAGAGTAAGATTTGACACAATGTAAAATAATGCAGTCACTTGCAATCATAATTCCTGCCCTGCAAATTTAAAGTCAGAGAAATAAAAAAGAAAAATGGGAATTAGATCACACTATAAACATAGCTGTCCACTATAAACATATAAAATAATGTTAAATGGGAGTTCACTACAACTGAGTGTCCACTATATTTCGGGTTCATCTCAGCAGGGTTCAACTGTATTAATTACACGAAAATGTAATTCTGATTTATTTTTCTTTAAAGTAACAGTAATGATAAAAACCTTAAAATGCGTAAACACGACTGCTTTCTCAAATCTTACTTATTCATCTGGTCGGTCTAATAGACCACCTGAATGGAAGTCTTTACCGGGAGGACTCCAGGAGCATAACTAAGTGGATTAACATGATATCCTGAGCTGCAGATACAAAAGATGTCACATTTGAAAGGGAAGAACTTGAAGAGGCAACTATGGGAGGGGCAGAGTGTGAGTCAGAAATAGCCAAGGTTTGATGTTTTAAAGGCTGGGCACTAAAATTCAGAAGAATATAATAAAATTAAAAATTTTCATACTTTCAAAAATTTCATGTATTAACTTCAAACATTCTTCAATGTTTTTATAATATTTTTAATTTATATAGATGTAACCTTAAACATGTAGTAAATGAGTTTAAAATCCTATAAAGAAAACGAAGGAAATAAAAATAAAATTTTTTCAAAGAAGTTTTTTCTATTTAGAATTAAAAATATTTGTGTTTTCTTTTAGTATTTAAAATTCTATGACACAATATAGGGCAGGTATTTACTAAATATCTAATTCATCTGAGTTAGAATTATAAATCTAGAAAAAAGACCATTTTAATATAGCACAGCATATTTGTGCGTTGAAAATATGCAAAATACCCTAGAAGAGTTTTTAAGTAAAAACAGTATAGATATGTACTAACAGAGATAGTTTTACCATTCACAAAACTTGATGAGATAATGAGAGAGGAATAAAAGGAACAGTTTTTGAGAATCTTCAGTTTGAACTAACTAATAGTGACTATAAAAAAATAAAAAATATTTACCGACGGTTAAGGTAGTTGTAAGGTATGAAAATTCTTTAAGGGGATAATAATAAATGAAAATAGATATTCGTACACGACTTATTTTTTTAAATCTTATTAAATAAATTCAAAAATTTTTCCAGAATTTAAAGATTGATATGTATAAAATTCATTTCTAGAACGAAAAAAAAAAGCTTGGTGAGTAGGTGTTTAACATTGAAATTGCTCGTTATGTTTGCACTTTGTCTGCTGTCAATAATATAGATAGAAATTTATTTGCATTTAAAAAAAATAAAGTGGATGCCTTTTAATAAAATAAAAGTTTCATTCCTTGTGTTTTAATTATAAATATGTGAGAAGAATGATTTCTAAAATGCATTTGCCGTTATCAGCACTGAACAGATACAAATTCTTTAAGACAATATTTATATAATATATATTAGACAATATATATTATATAGTCAATATTAAAATTAGTATTCTTTAAGACAATTAAAAATATCCTTCAAGTTTTTTTTCTATTCTAAATGATTAATACTAGTCAAAATATGTTAAAAACAGTGGATATTATTATTTTTTTCAAGGAGTTATTACATTTTCAAGTTTTACTGTGAATAAAAGCACTATAAGCAACTATATAAATTTAACAGAAAGTAAATGTATGCTTACGCTTTTTTCTGCAGAGCAGGCAGTTGCAGCTTTGCAGTAGTTTTAAAACTAAAACTTCAAGCATCCTCACTAACAACTTACGGCTATAAATAAAGCATAAATTTTTTCAAAATATAATAAACATCATAGATGACTTTTTACTGCTTCATACATGTTATACCAGAGCTACTGTTGCTACAAATATTATTCTTATGGAAATTACTAATTTGCAAAAGAAAAAAAAACTTGGAAAATTTCTACAATAGACTTAATAGTTAGCAAAGAACAATTTTCATTGCCAGAACAACAAAACTAGTTATAATACCATGAATTATAAACTAGTTATAATACCATGAAATAATCTGAACAGAAATTCACTTTAAGAATAGTTAAGGTGCAAAAATGGTTGAAATTCGTAGCTAGAAGAATAAAATGTGAAAAATACAATGCATTCAATGGCTGAAAGTATAAGGCTTTGATATGCTGCCAGATTCTCATGGTTATTGACATCATATTTTTATAGACATAAGAAGTGTAACAAAATAAATTTAACTACACAAGCAACTCTCATGATTTTAGTAAAATGCAACTATTATTCATAGAATAAAAATTCTTCACAATTTAAAAGCATTATTGCCTTGAATTACAATAAATTTAATTAGTGGCATAAAATGTATATTTTAATTAATAAGAAAAAAAGAACTTACATTGNAAGAAGTGTAACAAAATTAATTTAACTACACAAGCAACTCTCATGATTTTAGTAAAATTCTTCACAATTTAAAAGCATTATTGCCTTGAATTACAATAAATTTAATTAGTGGCATAAAATGTATATTTTAATTAATAAGAAAAAAAGAACTTACATTGACATTTTCTTGATCAGATCTCATTCTAATGCATTTAATTAAATTCAGAATAAGCATACAAGACATTGTTTAAATTGTAGTTACTAAAGATTCATCATGAACATTTCTTGAGAACACATTTACAGCCTTAGCCAGAACCTTCAACTATAAATATTGTCTCATATGATGCACAAGATCAGCTAAAGTACTATAAGCAAAAGGCCTAAAAATGTACAAGATTCTAATATTAAAATAAGTAATACCACAGTCAGTAAAGGCAATTAAAGAGCTGTGAAATATAATACATTTAACAAGAAATTTTAATTTAGAATATATTTTCCAAGCCTCATAATGAAACAAAGAAAAACTCAAACAATTAAAAAAAAATCAAGATATTTTTTGGAACAGTATACAGGGTTAAATTAATTATGAAAAATACAAAAGACAAAGTAAAAAGGTGTATTTTTCTCTACTAAAACAAAGTTCACTAAATGTTACTAAATGTTGGTTGTGAAAAATTCACATAAAGTTAGAGTAGGATCAATTAATGCATAGACAAAATTACTATGATACTTAGATACTAAATACACTATTTTTCAAAAAGAAAGGAAAAACACTTACATTACAATACAAAAATTGTAATTCTATAAACCTTTTCTCTTTCCAAACAGTTTATTATTATTTTAAACAAAATTAGATAATTCAAAGAGCAACTAAAATCTAAGTGCTATTATTAGCCCACAGACCACACAATAAAATATCTTTAATAGATGTAACTGATAGACGGTCTCTGAGTTAGAACTACTAAATTTTGAAATTTTAATAGCATTATCAATTTTTATTAAAATAAAAAATAAAATAAAAAATTTGAAAATCAAAATCTTTTTATTCAACAAATCAAATCTTTTAAAGTTCAGGCTTGTAGAAAATAGGAGGATCAGAAAATACAAAAAAAAAATTGGGAATATTAGATCAAAAAGTTAGAAACAAGAACAAATTTTTTTTCATCCAGTCAATCTGGAATATTAGGACAACTGTGAACTTTGTAGGTTTTTCAGCACAAGAAACAGATGATGTTTTTGTGTCTCACTGAATTATCTCATTCAGTTTAAAACAATTTGATAGGAAAATAAAAAAGTTTGTACAAAGAAAATTATTTCAGATAACTTGCAATACAACATTTGAAGCAGAGGCTTAGAAGATTATAAAATTAGATGCCAAGTAAACATAATAGAACACTTAATTAAAAATAACATATTTGACAAATTAGCATTTAGAGGATACTTTGAGAATTGCAATAAAACAATTCATTGAATATTGGCATGTTAAGTAAAGCAAAAACAGAATAAAAAAGTCACATAATCTTTTTAATTAAACTTTTTTGTAATTTTTTCATGCTGTTATATTGTAGATATTTTTAACATCTCTGTATATTATGATTTATCCACTTCAAACAGCAGTAAAATAGATAAAAATAAACTGATTATACCTTAATTTTATCTAAATTTTTAACAAAACACCTATATGTTAGAATTAGAAACTTAGGAACCCATATTAAAATTAATTATCTCCCTCTTGCTATTGAATTTCTAACTATATTATATAATCTAATAGATTTTGGGTAACAAGGAAAATTGAATTTATCGATTTATATATTACAGGGTGTGTAGTCAAATCTTTCAACCAAAAATAAGCATCTTTTAAATACTTTTTAAGCACTCAAGAAATATTTTTAGCACTATATACATTAACAAAATGCACAATAATTTTCAAACAGTTGACACGATCATGATAAAATAACTAGTTTTAGACAAAGAACTCTTTTCTTGATTATATTAGCCACCATAAAAATATTGAGATATTTATCGATTCAATTTCAGAGGGTGGAAATTGAAGCCTTAAATTGAAAATATCTTGCAAAATGCAGCAGCGTTTGCACATGCGAGGGCAATAATCTCACCTGACCAAGCTCAGTAGACGCACCTGTGGAATCCAAAGTATTTTATCGAACATGTAAAACAATTGGCACTTTTAAAAGCTACGGATCGAATGTAAGCCAAAATGGATTGTGGTTGAATGAACTGTTAAAAACATTAGAACAATGTGAAAACCACTTTTTTTGCATATTATGTGGCGAAAATCTACATGGTAAAGAAAAAATTCTCATTTTCGAAAAGGGAAAATTAAGCACTTTTTAAAAACACCTCATGAAAAAAGAACCTTTAAGGGCTTTAAAAAAAAATAAGTACCTCTAAGTACTTTTTAAAAATGCTACGAACCAGGTATTATTTGAATTTATTGATGTGACACATTTGCCTAAAAGGCTTTCTGGTCAAATTTGAAATTATCATAATTACCATTTTAACCACAAATCTAAAAATAGCCAAAAAACATGGACCTTTTTAATGCTTTGTAACAGACTTGGTAAAAGTTTTCACACCTCAGAATTTTGTAGAGTGAAGGATAAACAGTGATTGAGCTGGTACCCCCTTTTCCAATTTCAATTTCAATATAATTTTCTTATTTTACTCTTCTGAATAGTTAGAGAATGGAATGGTGTAAAGAATGCAATTTAATGCCACAAGAATCAAAACTAACATCTTAATGACTCATAAGCTGTCCATCCTGTCCAAATTAAAATATTTTCATCAAAAAGCTCTGCAAGGGATGGCACAAATTTTGAAAATAGAAAACTGTTAACTTTACTTGAAAATATGGTTAAAATAAATTTAAAAAGAAAAAATTTTGTAATTCCCCTCCCCCTCATTTAAAATATAGATACTGCACTTGACATGGCAGAAACAAACCTGTTAATCGATATGAGTTAAAAAGTGCTTCATAAAATAACTAGAGGAAATGAGTTTAGATTTTTGGAAAGAGCATACAGTTGTTTTTGTTGTTTGTTTTTTTTGCCTTTCAAAAAACTTACAAAAATTTTTAGTTTGAATTCAAGTTTTTCTCAAAATAAACTCTAGTTTTATATAAATTTTTATAACAATGAACCAAACATTTAAAAAAAAATTCCAGATAACAAATGGGAATTCGTTAAATTAAGGCTAGCAATTTTTTTCAAAAACTCTAAGAAGTAACTGTAACAACTGTATAATTTTAACAGTAAAACAGGATGATAAACAAGACTCAATATTCTAAAATAAATATCATTTGTCATCGTAAACTCTTTTAGAGAATGATTTTCTATAAAACAATAGTAAATTGGGTTGAAATTATGTTTAAAGTGAAACTTAAGAATTGGAGAAATCTGTGAGTTTGGTAAGCTCAGCTCCAAGGAAATGAGATGCTCTAAATAGCAACTAGCAGTTCATGAAGACCCCTAATTTTCAAGAAAAATACACAGATAAAAAAAAATCTTATTGTTAGTGACAGTGTTGAAAAATCTTTGTTTCTAAATACTAGTGACTTTCAAAGCACCTTTGAGCCTTAGTCCATTTTTGAATTGTAAGCTGCAAATAATAAAATCATCATAAAATCAGTTTTCTCCGTTATTCAATAGAAAAGTGGGTAGTAAGGAAATTTTGGAATATTTATCCCAGAGGCTCAACCCTTGGAGGGCTAATAACATTCTTGAAACTAAAAACGTTTAAAAACCAATTAAATATTAAAACTATTATAAATTAATGCTAATAATACATACAGCCCCCCTTTTTGAGGTAAACATAGTTGATCTATAACTACTAATAATTAAATATTTGAATTCCAACTTCCACAAACCAAAATAAACTAAAAGCAAAAAGAAGAAACAAAAAAGTTTTAAATTTTTTATTAATTATATAATACATATTTAATCTAGTATTCTTTATAAGATATTTAAGGTTTATTAACTTGACTCACTTAAAAAATGAATTTTTTTTCACTGTTCTAATTAGACATGTAAGACTTTTTTGGAGGAAAACTAAATTCACATTGTATAAATATATGAAGAAATAGTTATCAAGGTTGAAAAATTTGTAAGTCTTTTACATTATTGAACATATGTAATATCGTAAGAACTATACAAGAATATTTTTTCAAATGAAACATTTTTTATATTATATTTTTTAATTTAAACATTAATAGCAATTATGCCATTGAGTAAAATCTTTTTTCAATTGTTTGTTCATAGTTATGAAAAGTATTTTACTCCATCTTAGCAAATGAAAGATATATAATAACATAGTTTATTTTAAAATGAATAGTATTTAAATTATGAATTATTTTGGGCTGAGAAAGGCTGTTTTAAAATATAATTTTGCTATTCTTTTTTTAAAAAATCCTGCTATTACAAACACTTCTACAAATTTCCTTTTCTTAGAGTCATTAATTTTCAGATATAATTAGTAAGATATGCAGAATTCTGAAAAATGGCACAAGAAAGTAAAGAATTTCTCAAAAATAAGGAGAACTTGTACACACAAAGAGTTAGTCATTTATTAAAATTTCTGTACTGAGAATCTAAAATGAGTTAACTCCTTGTGATCATAGAAATTTATATCTTAAACTTATTATTAATAAGCTTATAAACTTTATTTATAAATTGATTCATTGCAGAACTATTATCTGCATCTCTTTTCTCTATTCTTTTCTTCTTTGATTCCCTCATTTTATCAAGAATAATTCATATAAGCATTTATCATTGTAATGGAAGTCTATAATAATACATTTTTAAACTTTTAAACACAAAATAACTAATTAATCAAACAAGAGAAAAATCTAAAATCTCTTATAAGATACATTAAATGACATCCACTCAAGTCAATATTCTTTTCCCCATGAAAATGCGAGTTTAAAAACCTACAGAAACACATTCCACTCAATGTAATGCAAAAATTTACAAAAATTGATTATTAATAAACTAGTTTTCAATGAATCTGTACACGTGTGAAATATATTAATGCAAAAGCAAATTCATTGAAAAAGATATATCATATCAAAAACACATTCTTACTTCAAAGCTGCATGGTGGCCTGAAGGTCTTATGAAATTCTATGATTGAATCTTAAAACTACTAATATGTTTTCCTCATTTTCCACCTAAAATATGAATATTTGAATAAAAATAAAACATCAATAAAATCAGTATAGGAGAAGTCATAAAATTCCAACATTAAATATATAGAGGAAATATATGTTTAGAAAAATATCTGCATAATTTCATTTAAGTTTTTATGAAAGCAACAAAATTCTAAGTTTATAAATAGCAACATTTTATTAGCTAATCTGTTCAGATGTAAACATCAATCTAATGTACTTAAGTAATTTCTGAAAAAATAAAAAAATTTAAAAATTAATCAAGTATTTAAAATTAAAAATTCGGTTTTGAAATGAAGCGCAGTAAGTAAAATTTTATTTTCACTTTAAATTCTGTAACAAAAAGCGCCACTCTTTTCCCACAATATGAAGAAAATACAAACTCTTAATCTTTTATTTATTATTATAAAATGTAGAGAAGTAAAAAAAAATGCTAGAGAAGAAAATTTTCAGTTTTCAAAAAATATTTTCAGCTATTCAAAACTTTTACCAAATAAACTTTACTTTGCATAATTTTTGTAATAACCTCGGAGAGATAAATTTAATTTTAATTAGAATATTATTTATAATTACGGGCTTACAAATCCTGGGCACACGGTTGCCTAAAAACTTACAGCCCAATATTTCAGTAAAATTTAACATTTTTTTTTAATCTAACAGCATGGCTCATAAAAATGAAATCATAGAAGTTTAAATTTTTCTAGATCCATGCTCTTGATTTTTATGTATTTCAATTATACTCAACAAATAACAATGCATGCAGAACAAAAACATACTGTAAGTTCTTGTTCTGCCTAAAATGTTAGGGAAATTTAATTGATCAATAATTGTTACTATTTGGAAATATACATACTTGCTGGTTGATTTATACATAACTTATTAAATAAAGTTTTTTTTTTAAATAATATATATTATACATATAATTGAGTCACTTATTAAGAAGATAGTTGTTTCTTCCTTCCAATGATTTAAACATTAAAGACAAGATTGGTTTGCTATGAGGTAGCAAATGATTATTTGTAGGAAGCCTGTAAATTATTTCTAAAATTGTCTTATGAAGTTGCCGAAAAAAATAATACAGTTCAGTGGAAATATTTTTAAAGGAAATCGTAATAAAAAAGCAAATTAAAATATATAATTAAATAATAATTTTAAACAAATATTTTCAAAGCCACAACAAGAATCATATTAGTTACTAGAATTTAAATTTTAAAAATATTGTAATACACCGTGAAATATGTATGTTTTGTGACAATATATCATAATATTAAAATTCTAATTAGGTTCGATTAGTTACCATTTAAAAAAATTGTCAATAAAATATTAGACAACAGACAGATTTTTATGCTTAAAATATTATATAACAAGAAGTAGAGTTCCCAAATTTAATTTTGAAATTATATGATGAAAATATGAAATATCCTATTTGCTAGTAAATTTAAAAACATTTAATAAATCTCTAAAAACTTGAACAGACAAAAAACTGCAAATATATTTAAATAAAAAAAAAGGTTATACACATTATTATTAAATAAAATGCCCAAGCTGAAGACATTAAACAAGCTTTGTAGCAGGGCAAAGAACAAATCAAGACAGCAATTTAAAAATAAAAAAACAGGACAAAATTTAGAACAGATTTGGAACAGCATAGCATTTTTTGGAACAGTTAGTTAAAAAGTACAATTTACTCTACTTAATAGTAACAAAATAAAATTTCACAGCAAAAAATTACTTGTTCATAGCAAAAAGTTTTAACAGTTTCCAGAATAATTTTATTAACACGGAACAACAAATAATAGTTCCCAATCAAAACATGGAAAAATTTGATGAGGCTGTTGCATTAAAAAAATGAACAGTATCAATTCGTCAATATTTTACTCATACCAATATATAATTCAAATGTGTAATTGAGTTGAAGATTTCTTTAATCTCTTTAAAGTAGGGTTTCAATGATCTCAAAACAAAAATGCAATGAATATGCCGCTTAACATTTATGTAGAACACTAATTTTAGTAAGCAATCCCCTAATTTATCATTTAAAAGTTTTATAACTGCTTAATGACTGAAATCACATGAAAGAAAACAATCAATTTTTGTGCAACTGGGAAATCTTACAAGATTTTTTATTGTTTTTGGTGAAAATAATAAGTAAGCATATCACCCTTGAAATCGACATCATAAAAATTTGATGTAGCGAAATTGCTTATCAATTTTCCTTTCCATTGAATGACTTAATTCTCAAAGAGGTTGAAACAATGATTCCTCTGGGTAAGACTCTAAACCATGTAAATAATCAATAGACAGTCCCTATATTGGAACTATCAAATATTGCAATTATGACAAGCATTTAAAAAAGAAAGAAAAAGGATATTGAATCAAAATTTTTCAATTCTTTAAATCTAATTTCTCAAAAATCTGCATTTTCATTACTGGAAAATCGAATATTCAATACACACAAAAAATTCAGGACAAATACGGATAAAATACTTTATATCAGGATCATCAGGACAATTACTAACCCTGATTTAATCTAATTTTTAAAAACACCAGTCCTGGGTTCCTGTAATTCGGTAGTCAAAATGGAATTGAATGCTGGGCTTAACGGCACAATGACTTTAATTGTGGCATACATAATCTGCGAAATTATGAAAAATGAACTGTCATTTCTGAAACTGAAAAAATAAATTTCGAATTCCCCATACAATGACAATCTGAATATAGCATTTTACTATATTAAATTTATACCTTACTTCAAGCTCTCCACTCAATTCTGGCAAAGCTTTCAATTTACTTTCCTCCTCTATAAAAGAAAAGAAAAGAGAAAATTAAAGTTATGCAATATAAAAATCGATAGGAAAAGTGAATCAATGACAGATAATTAAATAAAAAATAAAATAAGCTATAATTACAGGTTACTACAATAAATGCATAAAATATATTTGATCAAGGTTTTGCTTTAAAAAGAAATGTGGATTTGATTAAATTAAAAATGAGAAGTAAGAATATTTAAGTATGATTTTTGATCAGGTGCAGATAAATACAATGATTTATTTATAGGTATATAGTTATCTTTAAGTAAGTATGATTTAAGTAGATAAGTAAGATTTATTTATAAGTATATTACTTTGGTTATTTTATTTTTCGTGAATATCAATGTATGAGAATTGTAAACATTACCAACAAAGTAACATGAGCCATAAGTATATAGTTATTCATTAGGTACATCCTTAGTACAAAATATAATATCTATGTAATCTCAAATACAAAATTGCTATGAGAAATTCTCAAGTGAAAATAAATTCTGATTTTTCAATTCCCAATGACTAATTATTAAACTTACTTGCAACAGGATCTATGAGCATTGATACATATGAGCAGTAAGTATTCATAACAGCAACAGGATCATTAATGGATGCTGATACACTCATTACTGGTATCCTTGCCATGCTTAAGGACTCCAGAAAAAGCTATTCAATGATAAAACTCACCTCCAATTTTAACAATTCTATAAAAAAAATTTAAATATTTTTAAGAATTTGCATAAATTGTAAGGACTGCAATTATTCATAGGCAAAATTAGTAAACATGCATTAGAAATTTTAAAAAAACAGAGATTATTCTGTTTTATAAGAACAAGAAATGTTATATTAGAGTTTTCACTTAACGCCACTTAAAGCTTCAGTCTCTAGCTGAGTTATATTCCATAAAATAATAAAAATACAGTTGATGCTCAATATAATGAATCCTCCGGTCCAAACAAAAGCGAATGAGATAACATGAGTTTGCTTTATCGTGTTAATATGTAGTGCACATATTTACTTAGATTTTATACTAGATACCTTTTTAAAAAAGTAGAGTTTCAGTTATTTTGAGATTTATAATCCAAAATCAAAACAATATATAACTACAAACTCATATTACTTTAGAAACAGTGGATTTAATTTTTGCCTCTTACATGCTTGCACTTTCAGATCTGGTCAATATTTATTAGGTCTTTAGTACATATTCTCACAAACACATAATAACAACTAAGACAAGCACATGCATACATTTTTAGTAACTATTCGCTTGTGCCCAGTGAAGCGAAAAGTACTTGAATACCCTTGATTAGTTTACCCTCACAGAAGGTTTAACAATTTTGTAATATTTTCACACAAATTAACTAAGAATGCAGAATTTTATTTACAATTATTAGTTAAGTTTCTATACAGTAAAAATGAGGGGAATATTTCTGTATCCTGATCTGTCATGCCAACTATAAGGTAACAAAATTATTTTAAATTTGCAAACTAAAATAAATAAATAAAACAAGTAGAAATTTGTCTGAGGATGGCTATGAGTAATATCCTTTCAGTAGGCCCCCTTTTATGTTATTTTTTTTAGAGGGCCACTGCCTGAAAACTTATTTAGCTATAGATCAGGATACAGAAATCTTCCCATAATGAGCTACAGTAAGGTATAATAAACTTACTGCAATAAGTGATTAANAACAAGGTAAAATAAACTTACTGCAATAAGTGATTAAGGTAATAAAAGTTTAATAGGGTTACAAAAACTACGGATAACCAATTTTAAAAAGGGAGAAAAAAAGGAATTAAAAAGATTATAGAAAAACGGTCTTTACAGCAATTTACACTCATTGAACTTGTATAATTATAAAGATAAAGCAACAGCATTTATACCGGCACTAGGTTTGACAAATTTCACGGCCCAAATGTAAAAAATTTTACACAAAATTTTCTTCGAAATGTATTAGTATCCCTTAGTTGCATTTACATGTGCAATGCAAAATTGCTGAGCTTTTATATAAATAATTCCTATGTTGAAAGATTAAGAACACGTTATTGCACTTATTACTATAAGAAATAAAATAAAAAAGAACTCACACCATTCATTGACATTGACTAATGCTGATGCACATACTGGAATATTTCAAACTATTTTCATTAAATAATTAAGGGTATGCTTAGTTAAATGTTCATCACAGCCTTTTGTTTGTTTACGAACTGATTTCATAATTATGTAAAGGATCCGGTTGCCTATTTCTGTACACGTTACTTAAGCTAAATAAGCTGTAGCTTGGGGCCCCGAGATCCTACATTCCCCCCTCTTTTATTAAAGTTTTATTCGTGGCTAGAGCCCTCAGAAGCCAAAAAAACATTTTTTTTCCCTTTTTTACAATGTCGGACATAATAAACATAAATAAATGACTGAATAAAACCAAGGCTAAACTCGATCTGCCGCTGACGCTTGCCGCAGCGTCAACGAGTGACGGCAGATCGAGTTTAGCCTTGATAAAACAAAAAACTTCGCTGTCATTATTAGGGAATATATCATCTTTCAAGCAATTTGAGTATTAATAAATTACTAGGGGGCTCCGCCCCCAGCTCGCTACGCTCGCCAACCCCCAGAACTGCTTCGCAGTTCCATTGCATATTGCTTCGCAATCTTATAAAAACATTTTAACAAATTTAAATTTTAAAATAAAAATGCCAGATATTGAAATCAATTACTTAATGAAATTTATACACTTCTCTGCCCCCTTCACAATTTGATTATCTTTTCTTCATGTAGCTGAGAAATTTGGAGCTGTAGCAGAGAATATATCTCAATAAGAAATGCTTTCCCGTTTAGAATTTCGCCATTCATTTCTCTGACGTCTGCCAGAGATATTTCGACGCCTGATAGCAGGCATTTTATTTAGGCAGCAGGCACTAAATAAATAAAAATAGAACTAAATAACTAAGATAGCGTTTTAAATCTCAAATCAAAATAATTGTTTGTAGAAAGTTTGTTTTGGTTTGAATATTCGCACGTTTGTTTTGGTTTGAATATTCGCACGATGCCATTGCCATTCTATTGTAACGAAACAAAAAATTTATCATGAAACTAAAAATTTATCAAAGGAACTAAAGATATTGAATTCTTTTTTTAAGAAATTCAGTTCCGTTTTTTTTTATCCACTCTTATTTTTGTTTATCAATCTATTAATTCAGAAATGCTTTAAATCAAACGATGCTTACGGAAACAATGCTTATGCGAACCACCCGAAAAATGATTTGCTGAATTCTCATTGGTTGAAACTAAATTATTAATTTTATTAATTAATTAAAGGAAATTTTCATAATTTAAGACCTTATTACACATCTACATAACAATACCTTTAAAACGACACCTTATTTGTTTAATTCTGTTGCGTAGTTTGGGAGTTTTTAGCGAGACAAAATATTGCTAGCCTATTAATATATAGATTTATAAATAAACAATTTTTTAGTTTAAAGGTAAAAAAAAAAAATTTTTTTTTCGCCCCATCATTCGATCATCAGACTATTTAATACCCGGTAATATAGTACGTGGTCCAATTAAAATATTATGGGTCAATATTAAGGTCTGATATCGGGCCTTGCGTTAATATTGAAAATTGACTTCGAATCGTCTCGTCCTAGGTTTTTAGAAAACGAATTTCCTCATTTTAAAGCGATTGAACGCACTATTTTAGGTATGCGTACATAGTAAACTGCAAGCCCACATTGTGTACCCCCTAAGAAGTCTATAATTATTTCCTCTGGAAGGGCACACTATTACAAGGCAATATATTACGTGATCCTATTAAAATATTATGGATCGATATTCAGGTCTGATATCGGGTCTTGCGCTAGATAATAATGAAAAATGACTTCGAATTTTTAAAGCTCTTTAGAAGACGAATTTCCTCATTTTAAAGCTTTTCAGAAGACTATTTTAGATATACATACATAGTAAACTACAGGGCCACATTGTGTACCCCTACGAGGTCTATAATTATTTCTTCAGGTAGGGTATTCTATTACCCGGTAATATAATACGTGGTCCTATTTGAATATTATAGGTTAATATTAGAGAGAGATATATAACCATATTTCTATACAAAATATAGACTTCGAATTTCCTCATTTAAACGCTTTTCAACACAATATTATATTTATACATTAATTCTTTTCATATAGAACACTTTATTCACTTAAAAACATTGAAAATGAAGTTAAAAAAATAACATAAAATAAANAAAAAAAATAACATAAAATAAAATAAATGAATAAATAAGAATTATCCGAAATTTATTCGTTTATTAGCTATTACTCGCTATTTCCCAAAGAAAAAATAGTTATTTTTAAATACAGAACACTTGATTCGCGTTAAAATATCGAAAAGTATATTAAAAAAAATAATATAAAATAAATAAACAAAATATAAAGTCTACCCTCAACGGGTTTCGAACCCAGGACCTCCGGGATAACACATCAACCTTGCACAGAGCGCTACCAACTACGCCACGCTTCACACGAAAGTCTCACGAATATTTAGCTTAATACACCTACTCCCGGTTAGGCAACAAAACTTATTTCGGCCCTTTCTAGGCCTACTAAATAGTCTGTAAAAAAATTCCATTGGTACAATTGTTTCTTACATTAAACACTAATTTCAGGCCGAGTTTGAAATATATAGGTTAATATTACAGGGAGTTAAGGGGCGCGATAAGTGCGTGCCTCCTGATATGACTTTTGTCCCTTTTTCAGCCATTATTCACTCTTTAACAAAGAAAAATAATTCTTTTCATATATAGAACACTTTATTCACTTAAAAATATTGGAAAAGAAGTTAAAAATATAACATAAAATTAAATAAATAAATAAGTAAAAATTATCACAAATTTATCCGTTTATTAGCTATTATTCGCTATTTCCTTTAAAAAATAGAAAAATAAAGAGTTCCATATATAAAAATAAATATTCTTCTTTGAGAAAGAGGGAATATTAGCTAAAAAACAGATAAATTTCGACTCTGGAGATACACAAACGACTCACTCCGTAACTCCCTTTA